TAGGTTTTTTTTTTATTGTGTAGGGGCTGGCTGGTGGACTGAGTCCGGCTGCAATGGCTCCTTCTTAGTGTGGCATTCCCACATAGCTGGGAACCTAACCAGGTACGGTGGCACACATAAGAGGGGCGGCTTCGTGCCCGATCCCACCTCGGTCTTCTTGGCTCTGTCTTGACATTGGACACAGGTGGGTGAGGAAAGAGAGGGTGCGGTAGATACTTCACAAGTCTACTTTCACTTAAAGTAATTCACGCGCAATTTATCCTCCTTGCACCACCCTCTTGTGTAGCATATGGTGGACATCGTAGAAATCGACGGCCGAAATATACATAAAGTTATCAGGTGTGCATAAGGGCGCAGTACAAAATAACGACTTATTGGCAATGCGGGGCAAACCTTTAGACAGGTAAGTCAACATGTAGTTACATGTCTACCGTATGCCTCCTGTTGCTGCTAACAGGGCATAGACGGTAGCATCAAGTAATTGGAATAGTAAAAATGAGAAAGGGAATCAACAGATACCAGGGACATCTCTGAAAAAGTGTTCAGTGAGTTGCAAAATCTTCCAAAAACCAACCTTGTAAGTATTTATTGCGGGTATTATTGGTTCTTGAGGAGCGTACATGGAATACAGCGCAGCAAGACAAAATACCATGCAACAACGTTCAAATTCCGACGAGAGGAACACTGCGAAGGTAAAGATCGCATTTGAAATTCAGTTTACCGGACAGACTGTCCTTCTCAAAGCAATTGTACCACTCGAAGTTTATTGGTATCCCACTCTCGTCGATAACTAAGTGCTTATCCAGTTCGGTAAGCAGATCTAGGTATCTGCAGGAAGAATTAAATATGAACATTTGCCACTGACTGAGAATAAAATAAATATTCTATAGCAAACTATGATAAACCGAGCATTTAGAGGTTTCACGAGTCAAAACACATTGCCCCAGTAAAGCTGGAATGCAAGGTTTGGTGGGGCTTTCTTGTGAGGCCGCCTAATGGCAAAATTCCCTCGCCCAAATGTATTACGGACTTCCTGATTAAAGTTTCAGTGCTTGATTAAGACGTAGGTAATGCATGATAAGTGCGCAGTAAGAAGTAAATTAAAGCCGCTATTAATTGTTTTACTCAACTAAAATATATGTGAAAAGCATGCAAAAAGGAATAAAATCGACTAGTATGAACTCCTGTTGGTCAGCAAAGGATAGCTATTGGTTAAGAGAATCAAGGAAGTGTTTGGATAGAGGGAACATAGAACGTCTGAAAATGCGGGTCGTTTCTTTAAAAACTGATATATGCATTCTAAAGTTCAAATTGTAAGGTATCTTTTCGAAACTTGCATTTTTTGCATAACGTTTTCAAATTACTTTGTACTACGATATTCTCAAAAAGAACACTCCTCTTTCAGTCCCTTTAAAAAAGCCTGATATTGTAACAAACGAAAATTGGAAGATACGTCTAAAGTGTCCTGACGGGCAAATATTTTTCAAAATGAAACGCCTACGCATACAAACACCAAATTTAAATGTAGCGTTATTTTAGCCAAGCTTTTTGCATCATTTGTAGGAAATAAAAGTCCCTTAAAATAACAGATACAATAAAATTGAAACGGCGGTCATGTATCGGTGTAGGAAATGGAGTACTTCTTTACCGTCAAGATCACGCGCTATCAAACAGAAACTAATATTTAATTACGTTTCAACAATCAGGTCTTAGTCTATAATTAGTTATGTTTTCTAGCTGAAGGCATTTTAGAAAACGCTGGTGAAAATCATTTATACCCTTTGTAGTGACGACTATTGGTTGAACAATGGCATTTTAGGCTTGTTATACGCGTAAAGCCAGATAAATCGTGGTTTTTCTACAATTGGCGTTTAGCTCTTATAATGACTGCTAACCTTAGGGCAACTGACCCCATTGAACATAGTGGTGTTAACCAAAAGACGCCACAGATATAAGTGTAGGAGTGGTCTATAACAGAGAAAAATGTAATTGACAGAACGGATTGTCCGAACCTAAAGATGAGAGAATATTTCCATAAGAACAACACATGTTAAAACTTGATTTTTCTTATGCACGGATAACACCTCGTATCGGACAAAAAGGGGATGCAAGACCTGTGCATCATATTACCACGGCTATTTTTAGCAGGAAACAAGGCTTCCTGTATTGAGACAAAGGTGTATGGAGCTCAAGTTTTTCTTATTTGGCGTTATATAAAAATAAGTTGATGTTCAAATTAAGGTGGTAGTTTTCGATATATACTAGCACTGCGTCCGTCTGGGTATATATATCAGGCAAGGAAGCCTTCGTAGTTAATTTATGGATGACAGAAGACCCCTAGTACCATTTCTCTAGAGCGATGCTCTGCATCAGTAGGCGTAAAAGTTCATTATAGTACTGCGTAAGGTGACTGGCTTATCGTCACTGCTTCTCTCTGCACGCGTACGCGCAAGCGCGCGTGTTACTGGCACGCGTGCACCATGTCGTGTAGCATTCAGAAAATCAATAGAGCCGGCCCCACGATCACTGAAATGTACATCATAATGAAACTATAGTTTCACCCTGGTTGCGAAATTGAGGCAAAAATCACAAATCATGAAACATGTTTTAGCAACTCTTGTCTGGCAATTGTGGTTCGAAAATATTCTAAGCCTCCGCTAACATCAACACATCATAAGATTAGCATGAAGACTTCATGCTTACAGATTCCGAATCTGTTAGCAGAGGAGAATACAACATCGAGAACACTTAACAAGATTGCCATCATATTTTTCATTGACCCAAATATAAAGCGATATTTTAAAGTGACGCACTCTTCGAAACTCCAAAGGGATAGTGGCCTTTACTTTAAATACTTAACACAGCTTTTCCTACTGCGAAGACAATTGCTTTAGCTAGTATGTATAAAGCATACTGTTGACACGACTTACACTTTTATGTGCCCGATTGATGTTTTAACATTTTCTGCTAGGTTGTCTGAAATAGTTGTCCGTGCGTTGTGAAGTGTTAAAAAGCCCTCTTTGCACGCTTCAGCCACTTCCGGACCGAATGTTTCTTTAGTGTGGCGAAATAGGAGTAAGTAAAGTTCAGTCGGGGCAAATCGCTTTGGTGGGATAGACAGTGCTTCAGTTCTTAGGCATTCCATCGATGAAAATATCGTACGGATGCTTATAGAAAGACAATGGCGACTTGAGAAAAAAGCAAATATCTGGAGTATCAGAGACGCAATGAACTATAGAGTACAATACACGCCTAATTTTGTTGGTTTTTGTGGTTGTCGTTCTGTGATATGATTGGTTGAGTC